GGGGGGGTTAGCAGGAGGGAGGGCAGAAGGAGCACCTGTGTCTCACCCCAGATCTGCCCAATTCGGGGGCCTGGCGTAGGAAGGGGACTTTTCAACTGCCCATGTTAGAAGGCTGTCTGGGAGTGACCCGATTTACCTTCCAACCGACTCCTTTCTGCTCAGAAGGTGCGACCTCTGGGCAAAGTATCTAAAGGACACTTCAGGACTGGCTACCGGCAAGCCGAAATAAATGTTTGTTGAATGAATGAAAACATGAATGAATTCCCAATTGTGTTCTTGCAAAGCCCAGCGCCCCTGCTAGGAAGAAAGGAAGTGACTTCTACTGGAGTCCCCACAACCCTGGACGGGAGGAATTCTTTCCCCCTCACCTGGGGGTGGGGGTGTCAGCGGCCAGGGCAGGCGTGCCCTGTCTGGTTCGCAGGCTCTAAGGCCCCGCAGAGCAGGCGCTCTCCCAGGTCTGCCGGGGGCCACACTCTCCCGGGCCCCGCCGCCCGCAGGTGGGGGCGGTCACGTCGGGGGAGCGGAGTTTCCGAGGAGCTCAGCGGGCGGGGCGGGGCGGGGCTGGGGTTCCAGGAGGGCGCCTCAAGCACACTGCGGTTGCACCACAAGCTTCCTGGCTGGGAGGACACGTGGCCCCGGGGCCCCACAACGGCTTCCTTCGGCCCGCCGCCTCCCCCTCGCCCCCGCGGGCCTGGGCGCCCCTCCGATCTCCGACCCCTGCGCCACCTCGCCACGTCCCCTCCACCTGCGCCCCCTCTCCGGCTCACCTGGCGCCGGGCCTGCGCTCCTAGTGGCCCTCAGTCGCCCCCCCCTCGAGCCTCCCCCCCTACCCTCTCCCCCGGCCCCCGCCCCGCCAGCCTCGAGGCCCGGCCCCCGGCTTCCCCGCCCCCGCGCCCCGGCCCCGCACTAACCCCCGCGGCGGCGCTTCAGTCTCAGGCTGGCTCGGAGGCGGTGGCCGAGCCCATCCATGGCCCGGCGAGTGCCCGGCGCCCGTCCCGGGTCCGCGCCGGCCCCGCCCCCGGAGCTCGCCCTTCGCGGACCCGGCACTTTCGCTTTCACGCGGGGGGGTGCGGGGGGAGGTCGAGGGCACAGGCCCGGGACCGGGCGGCGCACCTTCCGGACGGCGGGCCAAACCCCGGCGCACCTGGGCGGGCCGCCTCTGCCCTGGGCACCCCCCCCCCACCGCCCCCGGCGGAGCGGCGTGGGGTGACAGAGGGCGCTCGACGCGCGTCCGGGAGGGGGCGGTGCCACCGCGCTCCCACCCTCCGTGGGGCGCCCCGGGAAGCTCGACTTGCCTGAGCCCGCAGTCCCCAAACGCGCGGGTGCGACGCGGTCACGCCCTACCTTGTCGGCACCGGCTGGGAGTGCCCTGTGGGCACCGGGGCCCTTTCCAGGTGGCTCCACTTATCTCAGAGTCGGCACACCTTCCACCCTTCCATCTCTCCCCACCCCGCAACTGCTGTAGCCTCTGGCCATTTCCTTCTGTGTCCTATGCTTTCTGTGTCCTTGCACCCATAGGGCACGTGTCCCTCGCTCTTTTCCCTATTTCACTTCCCTAAGAACCAACGAGCCAACGACAGCCCTTCGGGCTCCCGAGGAGGGACTGGAGGAACCCTTAGGGATCTGACCCTGACTTGCGTCCAGAGTGTGCTTGGGCAGCTCAGCAAAGTGGGAGTAAACCCTGCCCCGCCAGCCCACAGACATGTGAACGCTAAGGAACAGAAAGCTCTTTGTAGACTATCATGTGATACAAATGTAAGGGATGGTGATGGTGATGGTGATGATGAGGGTGGTGATGGTGATGTCAGCTGCAGCTATCCACACTCCTGGTCTAATCCGAAATCCCCATAGAGCCTTTCAGCTCCTCCTCCGCCCTTCTCGTACTCATTGAATTCCCAACGAACATGCAGAGACTTCAAGCTTTAGTTGTCAGACATGAAAATTTGCATCTGATAAGCCCCACTTGCTTCTGGGCCACCTGCCTGGCTCTCCTCTTCCTCCCAGACCTGCACCTGTAGGGTGGGAAGGGTGGGGCGTGTGCAGAGTCTATCTGAAGTTTCTGCATTCACAGAGGTTTTAGCCTCAGTTTCACGTGTGAGAGGCACAAGGCAGAAGACACTGGCAGAAATATGTCTGGGCTCTATAGAAAGGACCCTCAGACCTACACCTCCTTTCTGTCACCCACACATGGCCTCCAGGTACCTCTCCTGTCACAGACAGGGTGGGTGAGCAGGAGTGGAGAATCCAGCCCTGGTATTAAACTGTCTAGTCTTTGCCAGGAGGTTCTAAAAGTTGGCCTCTACTCTGGGCATATGCAATTTTGTACTTAATTACACAGTCTGTTTCTGTTCCCTATTCTCTGTGTGTTCCCACACGCAAGGACACCTCCTCCCCAAGTATCTCCTCTTGGCTGGTGTCTTATGCATCTCTGTGTAAGTACAACAGTTGTTCATGATCAATGTGTCCAGTCGGTTGAATATTGTCGTGCCTTAATTTTCTCAACCTATTTTATGGCGGTCCAGACCAAATCATTTCCTCCCTTTAAAAACAGGCAAAGAAATATGTGCACGTGTACAACTAAAAAGGCACACACAAATATTCATGGAAAGCCTACCTGAAATAGCCTCACACTGGAAATAATCTCAAGTGTCCATAAAAAGTGAAATGGATGGACTGTGGCATATTCTTACAATGGAGTACTATGCAGCAGTGAAAAACATCAATAAACCACTGTGGCACACAACATGGCTAGTCACACAAATGTGACGTTGGGCCAAAGAACCAGACATGAAAGAGCACATAATGTAAGGTTCCATCAATATATAAAGTTAAAAACAAGCAAAACTAATATATATAGTATGAAAAGCCAGGATGATGGCAGATTTATGGAGGAAGGAGGAAATAATGACTGGAAGGATACCATAGGGCTTCTGGGTGCTGGAATGTCCTCATTCTTAACATAGTGCAGATACATAAATGTGTTCACCGTGTGATCATTCTTTGTATTGTCCAGTTCTATGCATTTTTCTATATGTTTCTATATGTTTCATTTTTCTTAGAGAGAGAGAGAGAGAGAGGGCACAAGGGAGTGAAGGGCAGAAAGAGATAGATAGAATTTGGGGCTCACCCGAAGTGGGACTCGTGTTTTTACCTGAAAGGGGGCTCGTGTTCACCTGATTCGGGGCTCAAGCTCACCCGACATGGGGCTCGAACTCACGAACTCTGAGATCATGACCTGAGCTGAAGTCAGATGCTCAATGACTGAACCACCCATGTGCCCGGAGTTCAATTTTAAGAGACTTTAAAAAATACTCATCAGGGGGCGCCTGGGTGGCGCAGTCGGTTAAGCGTCCGACTTCAGCCAGGTCACGATTTCGCAGTCCGTGAGTTCAAGCCCCGCGTCGGGCTCTGGGCTGATGGCTCAGAGCCTGGAGCCTGTTTCCGATTCTGTGTCTCCCTCTCTCTCTGCCCCTCCCCCGTTCATGCTCTGTCTCTCTCTGTCCCAAAAATAAATAAACGTTGAAAAAAAAAATACTCATCAGGACAGTAGGGTGACATAAATGGAGGTATAAGCCAGTTGAGAATGAGAAGGTACAGATAACTGTAGGAAAGTTAATTGTGGCATAGTTAGAGGGACATATGGGTTTGAAGCAGTGGGTTAAACTGGGAAAGATGAGAAGATATTTATATGCATAGGGATGGGAAGCAGGGACAAGATATAATGTACGAGAGAGAGAGAGAGAGAGAGAGAGTGACAGGTGGATCAAGGTCTGAGAGGAAGGGAGAAGGCTTAGGTATGAGACTGGCTTCAAAAGGGAAAAGAGAACTTTATTTGAAGGAGAAAAAAAGAGATGCTGATTTGTATGAGGAAGTGGGAAGTTACACGATACAACGAGAGACCTCAGTTTCTAAGTGAAAGGTGTTTGTTTGTTTTCTTTTTCTTCTTTTCTTCCTGTAGTTGCCATTCCCCACCTATTCCTCAGGTTATTCTCCCAAAGTCTGGCCCTGGAGTGGAAGAAAATGACATGAGCTTTTCTTTCTCGGAGGTCTCGGAAGGAAGCTCCCAAGTGAGTTTTATCCAGGGAGGTAGCATGGCGGAATAGACTGACGTTGGACCCAACCCCACCTGCTTACTTGCCCTGTAGCCTAAGGGTGGCATTCCCCTGAGCCTTGCTCTCCTCTAAGATGGTACAATCATCTTGCAGGTGGTTGTGAGCGCTGGAAAGAATAGATTGGTAATCCGAATGTCCAAACTTCACACATCCCTGTATTGCCCAAATCACTGTGGCCTCAACTCCGTCTCTTTTCATGGCACAAATACTGTCTTTTCCCAGGCTCCTGTTTCCAGGTATTTCTGAGAAATGCTTAAAGAGTGTTTACAAGGTCTGCAGACCAATTCTGGGTAGTTGCTTGTCATTAGAGTTTGTCATTGGGATCCAACTACTACTTTCTCCTTCCCCAGTTATGCCCATTTGCCTCAAGACAGACTGCTCCTGCTCTCCCCTGTGCCGTTCTGTCCAACCTGATATTGATCCTATCTCTGGTTCCATAAGGTGATTGCTAAGATCAGGAAATAAGGTTTGTTAAGACTATGCTGAAGGCTCAGTGACACGAGAAGGATATTACCAAAGAGGGAATTTAAAAGCGAAGTATCACTGCTCTTGGGTCTGCAGACGGGTCCTCTCCTGGACACTTCCTTGCCTGCCTTCCCTGTTGCAGGGGCCAGTTGACCTAGCTGCGATAGAAATACCCTGGGGTCCATCCCTGCCTCCAAACTCACATATCTAGAATGATTGACGATGACAATGTCTATTACACACAGGGGAGAATGCTGACCCCCACACAGGATGTGATCTTGTCCTTTGGTGCCAAGACACCAGAACAACAACAAAATCAAAATCATCTCCAAAGGATGGGCTCTCCAGTACAGAATAACATTATCAGTAGTCCCGTACAATTCCTCTTCAAGGCTTGAGGTGAACAGAAGCTCAACTATCTAGCCTTCAAACCATCTTGGAGTCTTGGCTTCTGATCTCCTGTGACACATGATTAGGACAGTAACCCATAGATCCGCCAGGAAAAAGCAATAATGACCAGGATTAGTAAAGAACATCTGAATAATGGAAACAAAGATGACCTTTTATATTGCAACAAAGAGCTTCTGGAGCCGAAGGTCTCAAATCTCTCCCTTTGAGACAGGAGTTTGTGCTCTATATTTGGATTAACCTTGAGACTACTCAACTACACTTTCCTTTTCTAGAGTTTTCCCCAAGAGGCATCAGCTGTGTCTCTTTTGCCTAACTCTGTGTCCCCAGGGCCTGGTAACAGTGTAGGCACACACTAGGTAATCAGTAAATACTTGAGTGAATAAATGAATGAATGAGTCGAAGGGTAGTCTGCCCTAAACTTCCATCTCTACGGAGACAGAAAATCACTTGAAACGTTTTGTTCCCCTGGGTTCTACTGAGGTTGCTTAACACCCATTCTGCCTTTTACTTTGCTGGCAGCCTTTGGCCAGAGTTGTATCACATGGGTGGAACCTGAGCATCGTAGCCCCAGTCTCCTTTCTTGAGCCTCGTTTATAGTGGGCATGTGACCCAGCTCTGGCTGGTAAGGACATTATCTGTTCTAGTTGAGGAGTGATCTGCTGGGGATGTCTGGTATGGGTTTCCCTAGAAGGGATGGTGTTTTTCTGCCTCTGGCCATCACTGGGTTTGAGGAGGGCAAGAGCTGCGGAGGCAAAGCCAGCACATGCACAGAACAAAGCCAACGTGCTCTCAGAGTAAGGAGGCAGGAGCCCGGTGTGGCTGGCAGGAGCCGGGAGCACCTCTTGCTACCTGAGGTAATGGCTCTCTTGACAGATTAAGGCAGTGAGCTTTCTAAATACATTTTACATGGCTTCCAACACAAATACACACGCATGTAATATACAAAAACTACAGAAGTTTCACAGGACAATACCACTCCTACTCTTTGCAAGATAGTTCTCCTTTTTTCTTCCATTCTATTGCTGCATTTTTAAAAAGACATAACTGAGGGGCGCCTGGGTGACTCAGTTAAGCGTCCGGCTTCAGCTCAGATCATGATA